TTTTTCTAATAAATCAATGTGCTTTTTAATCTCAGTGAGGCTTTGTTCTATCTTATCTTCGCTATCGCTGTATTCAGTAGTTTTGCCAGCTCTTTTGGCTATCACTACTAACGCTTTCTCGTCATCCTTATTAGAATTTTTGAATTCTGCACTAATCTGACCCCGTTTGACAAGCGTTTCATCACTCACTCCATCTTTGGTTGCTTCTTCTCGCACCTCTTTCGCACTTCCCATTGCCGCATACTTAGTATGAGTTGCTTGGTCTTTTTGCTGACCTTCATTAACTCTTTCCAAAGCTTCATCGGCGTATCCTTTGCCGGCGGTTTTTTGGTATTGGTTTACTTTATCCCAAGCAGCTTTTTTGTTTGTTTGATAACCTTTCAAATCGCTTTTCAGACCATCCTTTTCGGTGCTTGCAACAGGACCATGAGCCTTTTTGCATTTTTCAAATACCAATTTAATATCTTGGGTTACTTGAATACTATCAAAATTGTCAATTTCCGTTCTGGTTACTGCATCACCTTCGCCTTTCATTACCTCTTTAGCAGCTTCAATCGCAGCGGCTAATTGCTTTTCGGCTTCTTTGGCTACATGTTCGGCTCAACCACCATTCGTCTTGTATTTATCATCATTTTTAGTAGTCTCATTAGCCAATTTTCAAGCCAGCGCTTTATCTCCTGTGGCATTTGGCAAACCACCAAAATTAGTTCGTAGTTCTTTGGGTTTATCAATATTTTTGCCTAGTTCGCCAATTAACGCCACTAGTGCATCGTAATAAGTATCCGTTTTTATATTCGCACCCAAATTATCAAAGGCTTGATAAACTTTTTTAGCCGGGTCTTTCAAATTAGCATCGGCTAATATTTTGTCCAAATTAGATTGTTTGGTGAATTTACCTCCCCCCCCCTGACAGAGCCGCAATGGCATCGTCAATTTGTTTAATTAGCCCGCTATTTTGGTCACCAATTTTATCTTTTCAATGCCGACCTAATTTAGCCTCTGGACTAGTATCAGTGGTAACATTACCTTTGGTTACATACGCTTGTAAATCAGTTTTTACTTTTTCTAACGCCGTTTTTTTCTTGTCTTTGTCGCTTTCACTTAGGGCACTTGCATAGTTAGTTACATATATTCCCAGGAAAGTTTTAGCCGAGTTATACCCGTTAGTAATCTTTTCTCTGCCCCCGCCGGCCCCTGCATCATCCCAAGCGTTTTTTGCAGCAGTTGCGTTCGGCGTTCTTTCAAAAGCCTTATAATATATTTCCAACATTTCTAATTCACTTTTTCCTGCTAATTCATTAAAGAAAAGATAATCTGGGTCAGCATCTTTTTTGTTGGTGCCCGCCGCATAATCCTGACCAAAAAAGGCTAAATTAATGGCCTCGTCTAAGGTAGCCGCCTCCCAAATATCAATGACGATTTTAGTATCTAATTTACGAGCATTAACATCTAGTGAGTGGGCCTTGGTGCCAACAGCACTATTTAAATATCCGGCTCCATGACCTCGATAATCACCATTGGCTGTAAGTTCGCCCGGTTGAAAACCACAACAATCCTCGCGTTTATTTGACTCAAACAATTTTATTGCTGGATTAGTGGCTGTTATATTATCTGGTAGTTCAATTGAAAAACTATCTTTATGACGAAACATGTCAATAGCGGTTTTGGAGTATCTTTCCCTAGGTGCCGGGTTAAAAGTTATATCATCCGCCTCCGTAGCCCCAGCGGTGGCTACTGTTTCAGGGTCAATCACCGGAAAGCCCTTGTAAAGCACTTCATCCGTCACTTTTTTAAACTCATCACTATCATCATTAAAAGTAAAACCATTCTCATAGATTTGGGCTACCTCGGTCTTTTTCGTCACACCCCGACTATGTCAAAAAAAAATCTCTATCAGGAAATCAAGTCAACCATTTATTTCATCCTTATAAATCGTCGTACCCGCTCCATCTGCTAAACTATAAAGAAAGTGCTTAATATTTTCATCACCAGTTTTATCAAGAACGGTTTTACCATCCCAAGTACCATGAAAGTAGGATTTCAATCCAGTATTACCATTATTAACAAATCCACCAATCTCGGCATCAGTATCAGTTAAGGTTAATTCTGATCCCTTTGTGAAATCCTTACCGCCGGGAAAGTTGGTTTCCAAATCGGCTAATTTTTTTTCCAAATCCAAAAGGGCTTGTTTTTGATCATCTCGGTTCACTACTACTGCCGGTTCGTTAGTGCCTGCCTTTTTACTATCGTAATCGGTGTCATTAATTTTTATTATATTTTTTGGCCGTCAGAGTACCCGTAAAATCTGCTGCTACTAAGTTCAATATTGCATCTTGGGAAGTCCCAACAATGGTCTCGGGAGTAATATTTCAATGGTCCTTGTTATCAGTTAAATCGTGGTTTAAACCTACTATTTCAAAAGCGAAACTACCTTTAGCATCATTTTTGGTATCTTTCACATCATCTTTTAAAAAAATTAACTTTATCATTTTCTCTAATTCCGCTTCCGGACCGGTAATCCTGATTCTTTCAATATCCTCCCGGTTAACAACATCAGTATCATTTACAGGAAAATCGCCTATTTTACCATCTGCATTTCCTGCGGCGTGGTCCTCGCTTCATGGGTTAAGTCTGTTCCCATATTTTTCGATGACTATTGTAGAATTATCACCATTACGAGTAAATGCCACTGAATTTTTACTATTTACTGTTATTTTTATCCTTGTTACCATATAATATTTATTATCTTGATTTAATAAACGAATCTGCTCTCAACCCTCAAAAAACCTCCAATATGGACGGCCTGACGGACCTGTTTTGCGATAGTTCTAGCAGCGGAAAACTCGCCAACTTCTCC